TTAGTGACGATATCTTTATCCCCGGCAGCCTTAGTAACAACATATTTACGCAACGACGATGAAGTACCGGAATCGCTAATCAAATGCGTAGTATCATTAGTGCTCCTTGCGTTTGCTCCTTTAACGAATTCGAAATAGGTTTTACAAGAGTGTTTGGCTTGACCAAAGGTTTTGTAGTATTCTTTCTAGTTGCTAATGTATTTGTTTTTGAGGATTGAGTAGTTTTGAGGGTGTTTGTCTTGCAAGAAACCAAAGATTTTGATGTAACATTAATGTCTTTGGACTTGGTAAAGTAAGATCTTGGTAATTTGACAAATTTTACAGCTCGAATCACCTTCCCGGGTTCATTCAAAGATGGGTAAAGTAGGGTAATTTTAGCCAACTTCTTTGAAGAATTCATCCTTAGTTCTTCTAAATGTACGTAAGTTGAAGAAAATAAAAGGGATGGAAAAAATATTAGGGCAAAGAATCGACAAAATTGGAAGGAAATAGTTTTTTATTATTGTTTGTTGATGGGATGGCCTCATTAATTGATAAGCTTATATTTATAGAAAAATTAGGTAATAATGATGCTTGTTTCCTACGCAATATGTACTGTAATGGGATATGTAATTAGATATTTAGATGGGGGGTCAAAGTTTAGGAAGTTTATTCCTTTTTCTAGATTTTTTTCACCTTAGAAATTAATTTTTTTTTATTTTTGATTTTTATGGTGTCCCAACATAATTTTATATCCTCACTTTTCCCAAAAAAAAAATTGTACTTACATTGATAATGGATTTTTATTTTCTTTCGAATGCAAAGTACGTTATGTACTACAAAAGCATATATAATTTTATGATTTTATCTTCATCAACATTAAATTATGTAATTTTCCATAAAAATGTAACTATACAATTACAAATGTAATTTGGTAATTCTATATTCCTCAATTTCTTGTGAAAAGTATATTGAAGTATGGAGCAGAGGAAAAACAATTTAGAAGCTCGGTTCCAATTCCAATTAATTAGATTAAATATAATTTGTACCTTTAAAAGCTACATACATATGATCATTATCCAATTATTTTTATTGATATATTAAACTAGATAATTTTCGAATCATGGTCAGTTTTTAAAATTAATGGTAATTAAAATTCAAAAATAGAAGTCCCTAGAAAAATGTAACTACTAATTATAATAATAAAATAATTATATAATAAAGTTTCTAGGCAAACTAATAATTCTACAAAAATCTGTAAAAAAAAAATATATATACATATTTGTAAAGTTAAGGAGGCAAATTTATTTTGTCAAAAAAACTATGCTTTAGTATAATACAGTGTATAGATTGATAATATGAAATTTTGGCTCCCTTTAATGGCTTTAAAGGTGTTCAAAGATTACAATGGCATGATATAGCTAGATGAAGCTCTAAAGTTCACCCCCCATGTCCTATAGGCGCGGCGGTAAACTTGATGTGCTTAGGTAATGTTGAGTTTATTAAGCCTCTAAAGAATGATGATACATATATGTGCACGAAATTGCTAGTGTAATGATGCATAGCTAGCTAGACAAATAAAGTTATCACTTGTCAACGTGATAGAATCTATATAGGCATATATATAGCTTCTCAGGCTGTTAACCGGTCACCGGCGAAGGATCCGAGTTGATTGAAGATCTGGTCGCTTCACTTGTCTAGTCTCTGGTCACTTCAATTTGAAAAGTGAGAAGATGACCTAATCTTGCTGTCCAAGTAAGTATATTAGGCCCTTTTTTTAATTGGGCTGGGCTCAAGCCTCGTGACTAGATTTCTTATGACATTGAAAAACTTTTGTAACACTTGTTTTGGGATAGAGAGAATAAATAAATCTCCGTCGATTGTTATATAAACAACATATCCAATTTGCACCTAATCTCTTCTACCTTTTCTCACTATTGTCATTTTAGTATCACCAAGTAAGATGGCTGTATCATCTTTTCCTCCTACGAATCTTGAACTACCGTCAAAACCAGTTCAAGAATTAATCAAATCTACAGACAAAGAAGTCCCAGAAAGATACAGAGTCCAACTTCCAAACAAATCAGATGATAATCACTCTGATATTGAATACATGGACAGTCCAATAATTGATCTTAGCCTACTTTCATCTGGATCATCAAGCCAACACGAACAAGAACTGCAAAAACTTCGATCCGTTCTTAATTCCTGGGGATGCTTACAGGTTTGTTTTGAACACTATTTGCCATAAAAAAAACTCTGGAGTACTTGCTGTCACAGATCATTAGACTGATTATTTTGCAACTTTGCTGATGTTTTTTCAGCTTATTAATCATGGGTTGTCGAGTTCGTTACTTGATCAAATCCGTGAAGTCGGTAAGGAATTCTTTGCTCTGCCATTAGAAGATAAACAGAAGCATAGCAGAACATTGGACTGGTTTGAAGGTTATGGAGGCGATACAGCTACTGAGGGTCAGAGTTATAACTGGAATGATAGACTGCATCTCAAAGTTTACCCTCTTGAACACGGAATTTTAAGCTTTGGCCTGAACATTTACCAGATTTCAGGTGAGACTTTTCTGCATACAATCATTTACTGTATGATTAACTCCTCAAAACTATAACTCTCTTTATTTATCCCAAAGTTGATAAATACGAGCTTATATTACAGGGAAACATTGGAAGAGTACGCCATGGAAGTGAGGAGAGTTATGAAAACCATTTTAAAAGAGATTGCAAAATCACTTGAGTTAGACGAAAACAGCTTTCTGAGAGAGTGTGGAGGAGTGGAAGCTATAAACATGTTCACTAGATTCAACTATTATCCGCCATGTTCAAAACCAGAACAAGTTATAGGCCTTAAACCACATTCTGATGGTACAGCAGTTACCATTCTCCTGCAGGACAAACAAGTTGAAGGTTTACAAGTTCAAAAAGATGGCAAATGGTTTAAAGTTCCGATTGTTCCAAACGCCCTTTTTATCAATATTGGTGACCAGTTGGAGGTACTTTGAAAGGAAGTTTATTACTATTACTGCAGTAATAGACCTTTTGTTTTGTTTTTGGCCGGGTCACATATTGCTAATTGATAAAGAAAATGTGATGTATGCAGATTATGAGCAATGGCATATTAAAGAGTGCAGTGCACAAGGTAGTGATAGACAAGGAGAAAGAAAGGATTTCTGTGGCTACGGTATGTTCTCCACCCTTCGACAAAGAAATAGGACCATTAAGTGAGCTAATTGGTGAGGAAAGACCGCAACTATACAAGAAGATCAAGAACTATGTTAGTGTTTTCTTCCAATATTATTCAAGGGGAGAAAGAGCCATCAATGCAATGAAAATCTGAATTTCTGGCTATGATACTCCAAGTTGTACCTTGTTTTATAAGGGCGTTTCAGGAAAAGAAAAACCTATCATAAGACTAGAGAATAGTTCGCGATAAGGCTGTGTATACATTCAAATGTCTATAAATCTTGCTGTAGCAAGATTATGATAAATGGTTGTTAACTTGTTCTTGGTACTTAAAATAGCTTCAGAAGGAACCTTGCTTTCTGTTGTCATATTCTGTACATACTTATGGGCAGTCTCATTAAGTCCCTCTGCTTTATGTAATGTTAGCATATAATAAGATTATTGACAAAAGTTTATGATAATCAGGAGTTGGGATTTTGTTCTTTTCACCTTTTGGTACATTGAGGTAAGTTTAGATGAAGTTTGATACCAAGTTCAATTTACGCATCAAATATTGCAAGGTTAAATTCAAATAAGAGCCAATAAGTTTAGTTCAGAATAAAATAACCAAACTCAAGTAAATTTAAGTTGCTTAAGAATGATTTCCTATGAATTTTGAGATCTGAATTTAATGTACTTCAGTAATTTTCACAATAGCAGTCTTATATACTGTCATGTATAACATACATAAACACTTAACACATTAGTCAATACTAAAGCATCGTATAAACTTGTTTGAAGTCAACACCACCAGCTCATACAATGACGCATACCAGTGCTCAAGAGTGCAATTCTCATTAGATCTTTTCTCAGAATTACCATCACAAACCGTTCAAAAGTTGATTATACTACAGGAAAGAAGATACCAGAAAAGTGCATTTACCAGCTTATCAAATAAATCCTGTTTACGTCTTAAACCGCATTCTGATGGTATGTCAATCACCACTCCTGCAAGACAAACAAGTTCAAGGCGTTTGAATTCAATAAAGATAACCACTGGTTCAATTTTCCCGTCATGATTCCCCTTTCAATAACCTTAATGACCAGTTAGTGAAACTGACGGAAAAAAAATCTGAATGTATGCTTATTATGGCATATTGAAGAGTGTTGTGCATACGGCCACGGTAGTGGTAGGTAAGGAGAAAGAAAGGTGACTGATGTGTTCCACACACAAAGAAATAGGACCACCAAGTGATTTAATCAACAAGGAAAGGCCACAAATGTACAAAAAGATCAGGAATTAGACAAGGGTGGAAAAAAGTGTTACTGATAAAAATTTAAAACAATTATACTCCGGTAAGTTGCAATTCCATCAGCATATAGGTTTTCCGGAAACAATCTATCAAATGACCTTCGAACAGTTAGCGCCTTAGTCCTTACCAGTAAGTTATCATATCTAAGCATTGTGCAAGAAATCGCAATATATACTTCAATACTTTTCGGACATCACAACCAATTCATTAGCAATGATTGACCTTGGTTGTACAATAAATTGCGGTTTATCCTCAGCTAATGCTATAAAAATCAGGGCTGCTTAAATCTGATGCAAGTAATTTGTTCTAATGATATTCTCATCACCAAGGTTATAAATCATAAAAAGTCATATAGTCCTATATAATATCCAAAAGGCAAAGGCACAAATCACTAATGATATCATCAAATACCTGCTACGAGTATAAATTACTCCCTCCGATCCTGAATGTCTTTTAAGTTTACACGAATAGACAAAAGTATGTTAATCATTGCATTGGTATTCAAAGCTGACCGCCTAAATTATACCAAATTACCAAGTGCTCCATATTGATGATCTCAGTGATATAATATGTATATTGAAATAATGCAAGTAGTCTGGTAACATGAAATGGAGAGAACACACAGCCATAATAATACAAAACATAATGCCCCACCAACAATAAAGAAAGACTCCATTTAAATGCTCAACTCAAAAACTTCAAAACCAAAAGCATCTGATCCAGTCTTTCATATACTTTATTTTGGAAAAAAAAAAAGATTAAAAAACAATTTCTGCTTCTGTCCACCCCAATAGTCAATAATTGATAATTCATCAGAATATTTTTGAGTGAAAGCTACAAAGACCACAGAATTGAACAATTAGCAAATTCAATATATATACATCTAATCTCCTTGTTTTCCTGTTGGATTCACCAAGTAAAATGGCTGCATCATCTCATTCATCTGTCCCTCTCATGAAGCTAGAATTACCACCAAAACCAATTCAAGAGATGATTAAAACTATAGGCAATCAAATCCCAAAAAGATACATTTACCAGCCTTCAGACAAAGCACCTGATACATCTGCGATTGGATATATGGATAGTCCCATAATTGATCTCAACCTTCTTTCATCTTCATCATTGCACCAACACGAAGAAGAACTGCGAAAACTGCAATCCACTCTGAGTTCCTGGGGTTGTTTTCAGGTTAGTTTAGCTTTGACACACTTAAAGAGTTCAGAGTTTCAGTATCCATAATGTTTTGTTTGATACTTGCAGTGTTAGTAGAAAACTTATTTCATAATTTTTCTTTGATGTTTTTCAGCTTACAAATCATGGTTTGACAAGCTCGTTACTTAACCAAATCCAAAAGGTTGATAAGGACTTCTTTGCTTTGCCACAAGAAGTGAAACAGAAGTATTCTAGAACTTTACAATGGGTTGAGGGATATGGAAATGATACGGTTACTGAGGATCAAAGTTATAGCTGGAGTGATAGACTGGTACTCAAAGTTTATCCTATTGATCAGCGAAACTTCAAGCTTTGGCCTGAGGAATTACCAAATTTTAGGTAATAATTCAATACATAAAATTATGTACAATATGAAAGCTTCCAAAATATTTTTCCTCTTACATTTATTTATGTATATGAGAAGAGTGGAAGACTTTACCCAAATGGGAAGTTTTAAGAAATAATCTTCAGAAGCATTTTTGGTATAACACCCAAATTTGGAATTCATTTTGTCAAGTTATGAGCACTTGCAGGGAAACATTAGATGAGTACACCAAGGAAGTGAGGCGGGTGCTAGAAATGATCCTAAAGGCCATCTCAAAATCACTCAATTTAGAAGAAGATAGGTTCTTCAGAGAGTGTGAAGCAGAGCAGAACATATATATGCTAGCAAGATTCAACTATTACCCTCCATGTTCATCCTCAGATCATGTTTTCGGCCTCAAACCACATTCTGATGCTTCAGCAGTTACCATTCTCTTACAAGACAAAGAAGTTGAAGGTCTTCAAGTACAGAAAGATAACCAGTGGTTTAAAGTTCCCATTGTTCCTGATACCCTTTTCATCAATATTGGAGACCAATTAGAGGTAATTTCATAGGAAAACTATTTGTTGAATACAAACATAATAGACCATTTTTGTCAGGAAAAAAAAAAAAAAAACATAGTAGACCATATTTTTGTATTACTTGTATGGAAAACTTGATTTTCCATGTCATCTTTTATACTCCGTATAAACATTAACTAAGATTATCTTTTTGGCATGACAGTAACTCGTAATTTTAACAGGTGAAGCACAGTATTTGCACATCAATTCAATCTTTAAAAATTAAAAATAAACTCCCATAAAATGTAACATTTTATTTGAGGAAAGAGTACAAAAGGTCAAACATGTGTACTGTTATATAAAGGATTGTATCAAATATTTTTTACAGGTTACAATTTATCAAATATTTGATTAAGTGAAAATTTGATCATGTAGTGGGGGGCTGATAAACTGATGGAAGTGAGTTTGGTTGTATGCAGATAATGAGTAATGGTTTATTGAAGAGTGCAGTGCACAAGGTAGTGATAGATAAGGAGAGAGAAAGGACATCTGTGGCTATTGCATGTTTTCCGCATACAGAAAAAGAGATAGGGCCTTTAAGTGATCTGATAAACAAAGAGAGACCACAGCTTTACCAGAAGGTCAAAAACTACGTTAAAACGTACCTCCAATACTCTCCAACAGCAGAAAGAGCCATCAATGCAATGAAAATTTAAGCATTGCAGACTCTGGATCGGGGATCATGAGCGTCTTTCAGAATTTGACATTTCTTATAGTCTTTATATACGTAGTAGTTAGGAATAAAGCTGCAGATATTTGGATCCCCCAAACTTTATATTAATGGATATAGTACTGAATAATTGCTGTAACCTAAGTTCCAATTCAGTGCTGAAGTTCTTATTAGTAGCTTCTAAAAGTCAATATGCTCTTATCTAAAGCTTTTGATTAGTATTTATGGGCAGTCTTATTGCTTTTCTTTATGTAATTATACACTCAAAAGGTGCAGAACTAGAAATTCAAGGCAAGATTAAAAGAACAATACATTGGAAGAAAAGAGGAGGGTGCAACTTCAAGTCTTCAACTCCTTCACCTTCCCAATTCCCAATATGTTCAATACACCCAAACAGCTGGTTCCTTAACAACCCATGCAAATGCCCAAACAACTAATTAACCTCTCCAACAGATCCATAGCATTCTGATTGTACAGAATTACAGAATTAAGGCAATAATGACACTGGTCCTAAGGCAAAAATGCATGCTAATGATCTATTTTATTTCTGTGTAATTTATAGTCAAACTACAGAATTAAGAGTCATTGAAGGACTATGACGAATAGCCTAAAATGCAAGTGCTAAAAGAACATCATATGATAGACTTACCAATTGATATAACTCATTGCAATTGCTTTATGGAATCCATAACAGCAGCAAAAGGTACAGAAAACGATTGAATGTGGTATCTGCAGAAATGAGCAATACCACTGTCAAGAACACACTTCATAGAGTAGTGAAACTGATAAGTTCTGAAATAAAGAAAATTCAAAAAAAAAAAAAAATCTCTGATAGTATTCTGCTTACCAGAACCTAAAAAATGAGATACAGCCAGGGCAGGAACGACTCTCCAACAAAAGACATAAACATCACAGGCCTGTCAGAAACTATGCTACTAAAGGCACAAATGATGGATTCGAACAATACTACAACTTCGGCATAAACCATCACACATTTTCGAATACCACTGTACAAGCACAATTATTTGACAATCAACACATTTGAATAAGTACCAGCAAAATTTGATGAAATTTTTCAACATTATAAATTCCCAGAAAAATGCTGGAGCAAAAGATGTGCCTTGACCAGGCTTCAAGAAATGCATACAAAATTCAGTAATTCAACTTCAAATAAATCAGTCTCCTTTACATGTAACTTTGCTCAACAACAACGCATTTAACTCAAAAAAAAACCTGAAAAGATAGATAACCCAACATAACAGTATCTGGTCAAGCTTTCATTTTAGTCTTATCTGTCAACCTTGAAAACTACCAACAGGCACTTAAGTGTTTTTCGTCCAACCACATAAATATGCAATTCTCTATGGTCCCATGGAAAACAGGAAAAGTAAATTATCAACAAAGTCAATTAAACTGGATGAAAAGAATACACATTTGAACTAGACCTGTGTGCTGATATACAAACAGCAGGAATACATTCTGAGCAAGGACACTACAAGAAATCAGATACATCCGTCTCATAAGAAATTAAATACGTTACTTTCATAAAAAATCAGATACGTCAGGCGATACACCAGTATCACAAGAAATCTCATCACAGTGTGACAAGGGACTGCAGCATCACACGGAACATTAAAGCTTCGAGAGCTTCATAGATTATCATCCTTTTTATGCCATACCACGCAGCATAAGATTGACGTACTGCTAACCATCAAAATTTAAAACTTGTGTGCTCAACAATGGCACCACAGCAGAAATATTCAGACCCAGGGGGTTCAGAACCAGATGTCTCAAGGCAAGATAACCAGAAGTAGAAAGGAGATAGCAACATAGATCTACATTATCACTGAAGAAATTTGAATATATGTAGGCTAGTTAGACACAAATTGACCTTGCATACATTTGAAAAATATTTGAGCCACTTAGTATATTGCTCAAATTTCTTTGGGATTTCTTCTGCTTGTGTAACTTTTAAGAATACCGAACCATTTTAAGCCACTCCTGTGAAGGATACTACATCATTTTCAATGAAGTAGCTTTCCTTCATTTTGTGGAAAAAAAATTTAAAAAAAACTTGTCTTTCTTTCTTTCTTCTTCTTTTTTTATTTTTTATTTTTTTGAAGACAAGGAACAGAGCAATTCAAATTTCAACTGATGACCAGTCGATGTTTCCTTACTTGATCAATGAAGTTTTTACTTATAAAAGACAAATTGCATTCTCCCTTGCCACACCATTCTGTATTCACCATGTATATTCTCAATAAATAAAAACTTAATTTAACAGAAGAAATATGAGAATTGAACAACAGATGAACTCCAGTAATCATAATCATACATACATTGCAAAAACTCTGCTCCTGTATTGTACAAAATATCATTTGCTTTGCAAAATAAAGAAGAGAATTCTAAAAAGCAATTTATTCCATAAACAGAGATAGGTAAACACCTAAACTCAAAATCAACAAAGGAAAAGAATTTTACAGGAAGTCCACAGTCAAACTTGGAACACATCAGATCAGTTCTCCTAGCTCGCTAAAGCACCTGCCATAGAATTACTTCGAGTGACCATGTTAGAAACATCTTCATTCCAAAGCAATTCTACTTTCCAAACAGAGAAGCCTTGATAAACCAGTTTCCCACTTGAAAACAATTGAGTCAGCAATATCAGTAAAAGTGTGGTGCACTAGAACATCCCATCCGCAACAATGCCTTCATAGCGACTTCAATTAAATCCAACTTCAACATCCTAGGATGACAGTTGCTCAACATTGATTGCTACAAAATTCACGTCCAATAGCCACACCAACGAATTGAAGAGCCGGGCTACAAAAATTTCAATTAATTTCTGAATTTGCATTTTCCCTAGGAGTCGAGCTCGAGGCAATACCATTTTGTGCTGCAGCATCAGAAAGCAACTTCAACTCCTTCGCCTTCCCAATGCGTTCATCAAGCTCAGTACACCCAAACAACTGATTTCTCAACAACCCATGCAAATGCCCAAACAACTGCTTCTTAACCAACTCGAACGCCCAATCTAACCTCTCCAATTGCTCCATAGCATTCTGATTGTACAAAAACAACCCATAAAACAGCTCAAAACTATCTTTCGACGTATTATCCACCAAATTCAACAAACTCTCATAACCTTTGGTATTAATCGGCGTATCATCCAAATCAAGCTTCTCCAACACCCTCCCTAAGAAATGTGTAATAAACTGAGACCCGGCCGCGTACTTATCGTGCTCAGCACAAGTCATCTCCTCAACCCTACACCCAGCTCTCCTAAAAACATCCAAAAAATTCTCACACCTCCTAATTCTACCCTCTGAACTCCCAATCCTAACCTTATCATAAACAAATGGCAAACCTCCCCACCCATTTTTCCCAGATTCAGGTCCAAACATAGGATGAGTACATAATATATCAAAATCAGGAGGTAAAATCTGAAGAAACAAATTACGAGGAAACTCTTTCACTGATAAAACATCAACAAAAAGCGTCGATCTCTTAAGACGTTGCAATGGAAGTGAATTCAACATATATTCAGTTGATAAAATCGAAGTACACAACAAAATTACCTCAGGATGTTCTTCGCACAAATCATGAGGATCAGAAAAGTACGAAACACCGAGATTTGACGCAATTTTCGAGTAATCTGACCTAGAATACGCAAGAACAGTATGACCTTGCAAAACTAGGGTTTTCGCCAGAAATTGGCCGTAATTTCCGAACCCAACGATTGCAACCTTGAGCTTCGGGTAATCCGATGATGGTGATGATGAATTGCCATTAATGGCGGCGAGTTTGGATTCATAGTCGTAAGGTTGAGCTGCATCGATGCTGCGAATAGTTAGGGTTTTGACGCCGCCATGAAATCTCCGGCGAAGAGAAGGGAGGTTGCCGGAGATTTTGGTGAGAGAAGAGTTGTTCGCCGGGAAAACCGCCGGCGCCGGAGAGGGTTTGACGGTGGTTGTGGAGGAGAGAGAAAGCATTTGGATGTGTTTGGTCGGAAAATTCGAGGGAGAATTGGGGAATTTTTTTTTGGTGGTGGGAAATTAATTTGGTGTATCTGAATAATATGGGAAACTATATTTTATTTTTTATTTTTTATGTTTTTTTCCTTACTTCAGTCACTCGTTAGTTAGACTACCAAACATTTCAAACATCATACATGCAGGGTTTGACTAGTATAGTCAGGGTGTTGATCGAGTTGAGCAACTCGCGATCAACTTGAACTCGAATTTGAATTTAACTAAGTCAAAACTCGACTCGATTTGAGATGTTAATGAGCACGAATTGAGCAAGCTTTAACACGATCCGATAAGGTTATGAGCAACTCGATAATATATTTTATTAATATAGAATTTACAAAAAAAGTTATCATGTTTAAACAAATTTGACACTTAATAAGTGTTAATTTATATTATCAAAAATGAAAAAATAAATCTTTAATAATAAATATATATAAAAAAAAAACAATAATGTAAAGTGAAAAAAAAAAAAAGCATATAATTATAGAAAGACCAAAACTTTAACGAGCATATCGTGAGCTACTAAATTCGACTCGAAACTTTAACGAGCACGAGTCGAGCAGGTATTATTGACTCGAAACTTTAGCAATCACAAGTTGAGCACATGTAAAAAAATTTCTAGTCGAGTCGAGCACCCCTCAACTTGCTCGATTAGCACCTCTAAGTATCGTTCAAAAAATCATGTCCGAACCCGCAAAATCAGTCCGGGTTTTTTAGGCGGGTTTGAGGTTTGGCCTATAAAATACTCCATACTACATGTCCACGCATAAGTGAAAATGTAGAGTGGATCATATAACTTGTTCAAAGAAGAAGAAGAAGAAAATAAAAAAAATAAAAATAAAAAACCCTATATTACTCTTAGGGCTTGTTTGGAATCGTTTTTTGTTTTCGGTTTTCTTTTTTTTATATATATATATATAACCAAAAAATAAGAAACAAGAAAAAGGTATTTCCACTTTTCTGTTGTCAGTTTTCAAAGTTATCATGATTTTAATAAATTTGACTAATTTTCTATTCATTATATGAAATATATCATATGATTTTGAAAAACAAAAAAAAAAAAAAAAAAAAAAAAAAAAAAAAAAAAACCACAACAATGCCAAACAAATCCTTAGTATTTAGATTTTGGAATAAAAAATCAAACAAGTCTAATAAAAGCCACTCGAATAGTCGAATTTGCTTTTCCTTATAAAAAATCCTATCAAAAATAGAGATTACATGTGTAGTGAAACTGTAAATAGTATAAATTTAGTGATTTAGCTAAAATGCGAAGGAAATATGATACGAAGTACTAGTATTAACTAGTTGAGTACTCCTTACATGAGTCGAGTCTATCGACTTAGAAGCAAATGGATCGATCAGGCAAAAAATCTTGTGTGGATCTGATACACAATAATATTATTGTGGATCTGAGGCTATACGCACACAACTGATATTATATTAAACATAGTGACCCTTATTTTTATATAGTAACCTTTATGAAAACTTGTGTGATCTTTAATATTACTGTGAATTTGAAGTACAATGTTACGTTGAACATAATAACCTTAAGTTTAACATAGTGATGACCTTTATTACTCATATTGACCAGTATACAAAAACTTCATTTAATAAATAAATAAATAAAATAAAAAAAATTATAATGTCAAAATGACTTTTATTTCAATATAATACCTTTATTTTAAAATAGTGACCTTTTTTTTATTAATAAAACAACCATGATATCTCTAATGTTAGTGATCCACAATAAATTAACGTGAACCAGGTTCATTAAAAGTTTGTAATGGACCAGGTGGATCAAATACCGTACAAGCATGTTTATCCTCAACTAATACAGTAATATGTACTCCCTTCGTTTTTAAATACTTGTTCCACTTTTTATTTCCGATCGTTTTTAATACTTGCTCCATTTCCTTATTTGGAAAGTTTTTACAATATTTAATTCATTTCTCTCAACTAGTGGACCCAACATAAATCATAATTTGTTAAGTACATATTTTCTCTCCTCCAATTCTCTCTACTTTTGCTTTTTACAATTTTTTATTTTTCCACCTACCCCACTACCTCCATATTTTATTACTTTTTTCAATTTCTCCTAAATCCGCGCATGAAGAAATGGAGCAAATATTTAAAAACGGAGGGAGTAACATCCATGTTTAAGATTAGGTTAGATTAGATTGTACTAGTATATGAATGTATGCGTTGACTGACTTTTGTCTATTTAGTTGCTTTGGTGAGATGCGAAGATTAGGTCAGAATAGATTGTATGTGTGTTTGACTGTCGAGTAGTAGCTTTGGTGAGATGCGATTAATGCATTACATATTTTTATAATTGTGTGATAATGATGCAAACAAGTTAAACACCAAAATCTAATCTAATATAATATATTATATAAATAAAGTAGACATTTTTTTAGAGCATTCGGAGCGCCACGTAAGAAATATACTTATTTCGACCAATAAGAACAAAGATTTATATTTTATTTTTGAATTAAAAAATTAACGCCACGTAAATTATAATCCACGAATTAAATTATTTTAATGAAAAAAATAAAGTAAAAGTAAAGGAAAAAATAAATTTATTTATTCAATACTATGAGTATAAGAAATCCAAAAAAAATATACTAAAAAATATTTAAATGATAAACGCTTATAATAAAGTTTAATACCTATCATTATAAGATAAATTTTGATAGTATTTATAATAAGAAATACAAATTGTTCGTTAATTATAATTAAATTAAAATTTGTAATACCTACCATTATAAATTGACACATCATACGACACAAACAAAATTTCGTATCAATAAAAAAACTCCATCAAGCAAATTTTGTGTTAGTAATTTTGTGTTAATTTTTTGTCATCAATGGTTGGGTAAGTTTTAGCTTAATGTTTTAAAATTCTATGTTTAAATTAGTATTTCTAATTATTACTTGCATTGTATTAATTTGGGATACTCAACGGTTATATGTTTATGTTTTGTTTACTAAATATTTTTTTTACATGCAGATCTAACACATCATACGACACAAATAAAACTTCGTATCAATACAAAACCCCATCAAGCGAATTTTGTGTTAGTTTTAGGTCATCAATGTCCGGCTAATTTTTGAAATCCTATGTTTAATTTTACATTTGTAATTATTAATTACATCGTATTTATTTAGGATACTCAACGATTATTTGTTTATGTAATGGCATACGGTTAGATGTTTTATACTTAATATATGGATGACTTTGGTTATTTTTGGAGATGATGAAAAAATTCCAATGCATAGATTTGATTTTATATAGCAACAATTTTTCATTTATTGGTAAATATATTGATTTATTTTATATAAATGTAAATATTTAATTTATATCAATTTCAGTTTGGCTAACATTGCACGGTTCAAATTATTTATTGATGTAGTTGGTTGGTTATGGACGAGGTTGGTGATTTTATCGAAATAAAAGATATTTTAAAACAATAAATAATGATTTAGGATTTATATTATTAAAAATTTATCATTTCACATTAAAAGTTTTATATAACGGAAAAAAAAAAATATCATATATACAATTTATTTATATTTATTAAATTCATTATAAATTATAGTAAAAATAAATAAATATTAAACTTTTGTAATTTTGTATGAAATTATTAAATACAATAAATAAAATAATTAAAAAACTTAGATGAAAATTTTTTGGAGAGCATTCGGAGCGCCACGTAAGAAATATACTTATTTCGACCAATAAGAAGAAAGATTTGTATTTTATTTTTGAATTAAAAAATTATGTCGCCACCTAGATAAATTAACGAATTAGATTTGATATATCTAAAAATTTTAATGCCACGTAGATTATAATCCACGAATTAAATTATTTTAATGAAAAAAAATAGAGTAAAAATATAGGAAAAGATAAATTTATTAATTCAATACTACGAGTGTAAGAAATCCAAAAACAAAAAATATACGAAAAAAATATTTAAATGATAAAAGCATATAATAATGTTTGATATCTATCATTATAAGATAAATTTTGATTGTATTTATGATAAGAAATACAAATTGTTCGCTAATTATAATTAAATTAAAATTTGTGATACCTACCATTATAAATTGACACATCATATGACACAAATAAAATTTCGTATCAATAAAAAACCCATCAAGCGAATTTTGTGTTAATTTTTGGTCATCAATGGCCGGGTAATTTTTAGCTTAATTTTTAAAATCTTATGTTTAAATTAGTATTTCTAATTATTACTTACATTGTATTAATTTAGGATACTCAACGATTATATGTTTTTATTTTATTTACTAAATATTTTTTTACATGCAGATCTAACACATCATACGACACAAATAAAATTTTGTATCAATACAAAACCCCATCAAGAGAATTTTGTGTTAGTAATTTTGTGTTAGTTTTAGGTCATCAATGTCCGGATAATTTTTAAAATCTTATGTTTAAATTTATATTTGTAATTATTAGTTACATTGTATTTATTTAGGATACTTAATGATTATTTGTTTATGTAATGGCATACGATTAGATGTTGTATACTTAATATATGGATGGCTTTGGTTATTTTTGGAGATGATGAAAAAATTCCAATGCATAGATTTGATTTTATATCGCAACAATTTTTCATTTATTGGTAAATATATTGATTTATTTTATATAAATGTAAAGATTTAATTTATATCAATTTTTGGCTAACATTTCACGGTTCAATTTATCCATTGATGTAGTAGGTTGGTTGTGGATGGGGTTGGTGATTCCATCGAAATAAAAGATATGGTAAAACAATTAATAATGATTTAGGATTTAAATTATTAAAAATTTATCATTTCACATAAAAGATTTTATATAACGGAAAAAATATCATATTTACAATTTATTTATATTTAATAAATTCATTATAAATCATAGCAAAAAAAATAAATATTAAACTTTTTTAATTTTGTCTGAAATTATTAAATACAATAAATCAAATAATTAAAAATCTTAGATGAAAAAACCGTGCATCACACGGGCTTTCATCTAGTTTTAAATTATTAGGAGGAAATTAAGTAGGTATTCTATGATTATTATAGAAATTAAGCTAAGTGTATGAAGTTGGTAGAGTGTTTTTTTGGACTTTAATTTATATATATAATGTGAACAAATGGATATTCGTTGCAATAATTCTACCAGTACGGTTTTCTAAAATTATAACCAACTAAGCTAGTTAACATTCAAAAAAAAAAAAGATTTATTAATAGAGACATGTAATTAAATTTATGGGATCCTTAAATTAAAGGAAGTTTTTTATTATAACAAAACTCCCATAAAACTCACAGTTGATACTTAAAACTGTAAAATAATATGCTATATACTCACTCACTTCAATTAATTTGTCCTCAATTCCGACTTATTGTATCAACAAAATCGAGAAATAAAAATCTTTTTGTGAAAACTGAATCCGTTTGTTAACTTGCTAGAAGGGAAAAAGAATGTTGTCTAAAGACACACGAATACACTTAAAGTATACAACTAATACAAGTGTATGAAATGTATTTATTTCTCATTATGGAGTAAAAGAAATACTAGTACTTTATTTTGTCATTGAGAGAGTGAGGGATAGCTCAAGTAGTTAAAGTTTTCCTCACGATTTCAAGAGATTTTGGAATCAATTCTCATTATTCACCGTCGGCTTTCTAAAAACGAAAAAAAAATAATAAAAAACAAAACTATTAGGTAGGTAAGAGAACGATAGATGTACAAATTAAAGTCACGATGACTTAGACCACTTGTCAAAAAGATATAGTGACATACTAATGCGTAGGTGCTAGTTGGTGATTTTCGTATTCTTTCAATCATTTAAGTAGTCTTAAGAGTCTTAAATTATATTATGTCATGCTGATTTTCTTTACAAAGATCAAAGATAGTAAGATACATATTGAAACTTTGTCTGTATAGAACCCATAATTAATCATTTGTATGTCCATAGTCTTCTAGGACAAAATAACATCTAATTTTATTAAAAAAACAAAAGATATATTGTGAGGTTTACATACGATGTGTGGTTTTTGTTAAAAGAAAAATATGAGTCGAAAATATTACTGCAAATCAAATATAAGACCCACAATTAATTATTTGTATATCCATGGTCTTCTAGGTTGAAATAAAATTCATGATTATATTTTTTAAAAATACATATATTGTGAGGTTTAAAAGTGATGTGTGTTTTTTTGTTGAAGAAAAACGTGAGCCATAATATTACTACAAATCAAATACATTATACGGAGTATGAGGTTTACATGTGACGTATGGCTTTGATAAGCTAGAAAAATTAATGTATTGGCATCATATATAATACAGAGTATATATATAATTTTACAGAAAAAAATGATTAACTACTATCATTCATGCCTCATAAGAGTATAGATGTTTTTCATGTAATTAATTAAATGAGGCACCACCCGGACCCAATAAACTAGTTTTATGTTAGGATATATATTAATAAATATACTTGTACATACATCATTTTATTATGAGATATATATGTGAGACAATCATCTATAGCTAAATTAATGAATAAAATGATAGATTTGATTCCAAAAATAACAACTCCTATGGAATAATCTAATAGATCAGATCACAATACATTAGGATATGGATGCACAATCTCTACTGCATGAGATTGTTAGGATGAACATCTGTTTCACTCAATAATACATGCAGTGTACCATTATAAATTTATAATAATATTTAATTTGTTAATATCAATAAAAATTTGTGCAATAAGTAATAATTTCATGATAATTGTGCATGACCTCTACAAGAAGTTTACATGGTATGATGGGAATGCATGGAGGGATTAATTAGATGCTCATTGGAATAATTAATTACTTTAATTTGTATTGAGGTTAGCTGTCTATATTTAATTTGGATCTTTTACTAATGTTTGATGCAATTAAGTAAAATATGCCACCCAAAGTTGGCTTTGCATCGACATGGGTAGGTCAAATATTTATGCTTTCTACTTTAATTGTTAGACTTTGTATAAGAAATGTTTGGCTTTACTTTGGTAGGTAAGTGCAAGACTTTGAACTTGAAGTTTTACTTAGTCTTTGACATGAGGTCATATACTCATATTCATATATATATTGGAGGCTTGGAGCGTTTACATTGTGATACAAATTAAAGGTAGGTAGGTAAATAGCTAATGTAACACATCTTGTACATTCTAATATGTATGCGGCAATAATAATTGTTGTAATAGCATGCATGCAGAGGATAAATAGGTAAGGGAAGATAGGTCGTAGAAGTTTTCTTCACTCTGTCCATTTTTATTTGCCATGTTTTCTTGTTTAAGACGCTCGTGCTATTATATATGACAGACTATATTATTATTATTATACTTTATATATATTACTTGCACATCCACAAAAAATAATCAAATCTTTACAAGTTAGACAAAAAGAAACGAAGAGAATATTCATGTTTAATTCCACATACCAAGCATAGGTTTGGACTTTGGAGTATGTAACTTGCAAATAGAATAATAAAAAGAAGTACAGTGAATTAATTGATGAGGTGCCTTAACAATAATACAACACGTAATTTTTTTTTTTTCCCTTTCTATCTGAAGAAGATACAACAACACGTAGTTTTGCAGACAAAATTAGAAGAAGAGTATGAACACAATACCTACATAATTGATTTTTTGCAACCAACTTAAATTAAAGTAATTTTATCAAATTGACACCTACCTTATCTCACTCTTTTCTTGGGATGTTTGAAAATATAGAAAACTAATCAGTTCATTTAATTTGTACTTACTTAGCTCAGAACATGCAATATATTACATTATAACTTATAATCTTTGTATTTTGTCATTTGGATCATTTATAGGTGTCCGTTGTAGTATGTACCACGTTGAACCTCAAATCAACTTCCATTTATTTGATCATACTCTTATGATGAATCATTTATCAACCTGATCATCTCTTTTAAAATTTATTAATCGCAATAAGATTCGCAACATATTTCTGTTTGAAAAGTTGTTAAATCATTATTATATGTGTACCCCTCGTGATACGACTTATTTATATGCTGTATAAAAATAGGCATACATCTTCTACATCTTGTTGAAAATATTTGCAAGGTACTAATATGAAATCTATATGAAAACTTTAAGCAGAACATATATGTATTGCTATTTAGAGACATGTATTATTCCATTTTTAATATTGTCTTTCGGTGATACTTGGACCAACAACCTTTTTGCTAGGTACTCAACTTTGACTTGATCAAACACCAACTATTGATCAAAATCAACCAATAGTTTTAATGATTTGAGTCGACCTAAACTGTTCGTCTAACAAATGTTGTATTTCTACTCCATTTTAATAATTATACCCTACTTGATGAAAATTCTTATAATTAAGATTTAAAATTATTGAAAACAATACCAATAATAAGTTATCTTTTACTTAAATTCTTGATGCCATGTTCGTTGCAACTTAATTATTTAAGATCTGAGACGAGGTGAGTTATGTTCAACCTTTAATTTCAAGCCAAGCCACGTTAAGGTAAGCCAAATATATATAAGCTTGATTTTTTATTTTTGTGATTTTGTTCGGATCTCTAATAGTACAAACTCCATAGTACATTATTAATTAATTAATTAATTAATTATTTAGTATGTACAAAGTATAATGCAACGCGATACTCATATTATGAATTTAATCGTTATTATTACAGACGAGGATAACCATTAATCAATACCGTAAGCTATTTAGAATTGGCAAACATGCAATTAATTCGGTGATTTTTACTCTGAGAATTAAACTTGCAAATTGGGACTTGATTGAGAAAGAATATTATAACGAGCGCTCCTCATTAATAGGAAGTTAGCATGCATGAAACGCACTTCTCGTTTAGACAGCCACATGCACTCTACTACGAGTATCAATTTGTACGCAATATAATTGTTTTGATAGATAATTCATGACAATCGATCGAGGAGAGTGATGGATCGACCAATAATGATTTCGTATCTTTGATACGTATGTAAATGGAGAGATACAAGTTAAAATTAGGACAAAACAAAATTAATAGAAGGGTTACGTTTCAAATAATCTAATTAAAGGAGTGAGGATATAGATTTTGAGGAAAACTTTATATATAGACGACTTTACAACATATAAAAGACGGGTGAATCATTAACAAATGGTGTTAGTTGGATGTCTACGTAGACAACGTGGTACAATATATACTTTGTAAAGAATGTTTCATGTCAATATTTATTGGTATTATCAAACCATCTTATACCCTCCAAAATTTAAAATAATTGTAAAGTAAATGTAAAATATATAGTATAAACTATTTATTTTATCGTCCTCACTTATATATAATACAAATGAAATTTTGCACCTACTATGAATCGATGATAATGTCACACCATATGAACAATAAAACACGGGTATAGTAATTCAATGTGTTCAATTATTATCTTAGTAATACGCAAAAATTCTATAGTTCTAATCTTTATTTCTCATCTTCAACCATAGACACTGAAATGATGAGTTTGGCATAATAATAAGGATTGTACTTTTTAACTTTAATAATGTTGGGGATTCAACCCCTACTACGAGCATTTTAAAAGTGACTGGGAATGGACATTCTTTATTTTAAAAGTATCTAGCTTGCTAATCCACGCCACTTCCAACTTGACAGGGCAGTTTTTTGTTCCCGTTCAGAGTTTCGGTTTATTATCATGCCAAATCCGATCCTATTAAAAACACAAATAGTAGTTTGTTTGATTTCCTAGTTTGATTTGAAGTTTAAAAAATACGCTTAAAAGACTAATTTAAAAAATTATCTCCTAATTAACTACCTCAGTGGGGCAGCTATATTTAGAAGGGATAAAAAATGAGCCTATGTAAACGTCAACTTATTAAAGTATATGTATGTAATATGTATTAGGTGGAAATTGCTACTCGCACAAATTTGGTACTAGAACACAACCACAATAATGAGCTAATTGATGTTGCTAAGCTAGCTGTATTACTCAATTATTGTATTTTTTACAGATTGAGTACAAATTAAATGTGGAAATTAATTGTACAAAAGTATCTCATTCTAAACATGTAAATATGATGGTTGTTGAAATCAAATACGAGTATACTTATTTAGCATTGTTAATTTCGCACGCATTTCATTCAATTGTGTTTCTCATCAAATAACTAAACTTGCGTATTTAGCATGTTTCTTAAATAGGAACATCCGGTAGCTAACCTAGCAGATCTAGCATATAAGGAGTTTGAAGTAATCTATTCATCTTTCTTTAATTTTAGGGAGCTTGTATATATACTAAGATACTCCACAATTAAGCGTGCTATGCATGGCACATGAGCATTTAGTATTGCGCCTTGGTGGTCGGGGTGTTACAATTTCTCCCTCTAATCTATTTGTAAAGATTGATGATATGCTAATTAGCTTATAAAAGTATGTCAACAGTAAAAGCAGAGTCCCACCATGATCTTGTTTCAAGCGTCATTTTATTAATCAACACATGAAAAAATAAGTTAACTTTCATGATTTGTACATTTATTTATCATCTCATGAACCTTACTTTCACTTAGCTATAATTTGCTTTGATTAATATTATACATGCTTAATAACCTAATTATACTACTTGAGCAAAAAAAACATAGATACATAACCATCAGTAACAAAAAAAAATGCAGTTAATGAGGCTGCAATGGATTCAGGAACCCTCAATATATCCTGTATCCCCTCTCTAGCACCAACGGCTCAATAAGTACGTGCTCGACTATTGTTGTTGTCGTTATTGCTGCTGTTGTCGTCGATTTCTTTGTTAACACTACCTTGTCTACCTAGTACCATTGACCACCACAAAATCGGCCTTCTTCTCTGGAATCTCAGCCGAGGGAGGTATTTGAAGACGATCATCACTAGGAGAAGGAAGCATGAATGTTTGATCAACCCCATTTTGTTCATTATTAGTCTCAAGCATCAATTGTTTTCTAACAAGATCATGCAAATAACCAGAAAGTTGCTTCTTTACCATCTCAAAAGCCCAATCCATTCTATCCAACTGTTCCATTGCATTTTTGTTGTATAAAAACAATCCATAAAACAACTCAAAGCTATCTCTTGCTGTATTATCCACCAAATTCAACAAACTTTCATACCCTTTTGTGTTAATTGGTGTGTTTTCTAGGGCCAACTTCTCCAAAACCCGGCCCATCATGTGGGTTATAAATTGTGACCCGGCCGCGTGCTTGTCATGGTCGGCACAGGTCATCTCCACCATCCTACACCCGGCATTCCTGAAGACGTCGAGGAATGCCTCGGCCCGAGAGGTCCGGGTTGGGTCTGACCCTACCCGGACCTTGTCAAAGACAAACGGGAGCCCACCCCACCCGTTCTTGCCCGAGTCAGGGCCGAACATTGGGTGGGTGCAAAGGATGTCAAAGTCCTTAGGTAGGACTTGTAGGAAGAGGGAGCGAGGGAACTCCTTCACCGAGAGGACATCCGCAAAGAGGGTGGACCGACGAAGGCGATGGAGGGGGAACGAGCGGAGGACTTTCTCCGTTGAGAGGATGGAGGTGCATAGAAGGATCACCTGAAAAAAGGATGACAATAGTGTACACAAATTAGAATTGGTCAAGAAAAAAGGATAACAATAATGTACTAAAACTAGTATTGGTCAAGCTAGTACTTCGTACCCCCCATATTTCCTACCAAATCCAATTAATTAATGAGCAATAATAATGTTGTAATAATGAAAATAACTACTAGTGCTACAAAACCACGTGAACATAACCAACTTGATACGTGAAATATTTCACTAGGATGACTATAGGAGACCAATGGGGAATGAAATTCATTATCGTACCATGTATGTCAATTTTAATTCGGTTCACTACATGATAATATTAAATAGTTTTAGCATAGGAGAATAAGTCGCACTTGATTTTGAAATTCGATCGCGTTTACAACACTATCCTTTACGTCTCTCGAGTTTCTACATACCAAATTGTCTATCATCGAAATGTCACAGCCTCAATAGTTAAATAAAAGGAGCGTTTTAGATTTTACTTTTAGAAAGTGATGGATTACAAAATAAATAATTGACCTTCTTGTGTCTTTTTTAAATAAACACGACGTGGTCAAAGAAAAACGGTTCGAAATTTTGCATATGGCTACTTTATGTCATTTTAACATCCCACTTTCTAACTTTTTTTATTTTTATTTTTTTGGTAGCTCTATTTTCTCTATAAAAGATGCGAAGTACTTGAATAGACCAATAAATTAAAAATCAAAGTACACACTATAATTGTCATTTTGCTACAATTTCATAAACCGGCTAAACTAAGTGATATAATATTAAATATTTTCACAATGGATAATTGGCATGTTAATAATGTTACAAGCCATAAAATAATCAAGTTTATGGACTTCATTAGTACTCCTTATTTATTTTAAGTTATCAATAATGATTTCAACACTTTAAAAATTTATACTTAAAAGACATGTTTAATTGTTAGGCTAGGTAATTTATTATGGACCAACGAATAAAAAGCTACTTGAATTATCTATGCAAGTTGTCTATTCATTTTAAAAAGTTTCAACCAAAATAATTCCCACTCTTTCAAAATTATTGTCCCAGTCCCATTATCTCAACCTATCACAATAACCATAATAACGACAGAATGAAACGACTAACAAGTATTTTTGAGCAACCACACCTTATATTGATTATGACAAAAACATCGTAAAATAGTAAACGTGACTAAATAAAAAGCTCACCTCAGGATGCTCCTCACATAAATCATCGGCGTCAGAGAAATACTCGACGCCGATTTCCTTAGCAGCACGGGAGTAATCCGACCTAGAATAAGCCAAAACTCTATGACCTTGTTGAGCAATAGTCTTAGCCAAAAACTGACCAAAGTTACCAAACCCAATAATAGCAATCTTAAGCTTAACATCTCTATTAGCAACTTCAAGGGGATCACTACAAACCCGAGTTGATGACGATGAACTCGTGTGCACAACAAATTCATTAGACTCCGAGCTACCGCCGCAACGAAGGTTGATGCGGCGGTGGCGGAGAGGAAGAGCGAGGTGAGTAGGAGGAGAAAAAACGGCGGAGCATTGTTGTGAGTGGTGGTTGGCGGCGGCGGCGGCGGTGATGGAAGGGTGGAATGATGAGATAGAAAGCATGTTTAGGGAATAAAAATGAGAATGAGAAGCGGAGATTAGAGAATGAGGTAGGTGGCCAAAGTTGGGGGGCTAGGAGTTAGGACTAAGCTAGATATTGGCAACGAGTTATTGGGAAGAGAAATGGTTGGATTTTATAGAAGTTAGTAGTAATAGAAGTAGTAGAGGACACCACCTTCCTCTCTTTAGACTTTTTTGGGGGTGATTTTGACACATGTCAAGTTGTAGTGGTGGGTGGTGTTTTTAGGTGGGACCTACTTTTTCATATTACTCATCATTTTTTTTCTAAGATATTCTTGATTTATTTATATTATAGGTCTTGTTAGAGATTCCTGTGAGTTATTTTGACCAGCTGTTATCTGGTAGATTTTTACATTAATTGTTTTGATTAGCTGATCGAAATTAGTTGTGTGTGCAAAAAAAAAAATGTTTGATAAATAATTGTTAGCTATTAGTTGTTTTTAATGTGTAAACAACAACAACAACAACAACAAAAAAAAAAAAAAAAAAAAAAAAAAATTCTTTCAAAAAACTCCTCATATACCCTTTTGAACCGAAAAAGCTCTTTAAAATAATACTCTTTATCAAACATCCCAAATACAAGTAGCTTTTTAAAATGATAAAATAACTCTTTTTGCTTCAAAAAGCTTTTAACCAATCACCCCTAGTGATCTGGATTGATTTAGTATACATTCAATTCACTTAAAAAACATTAAGTAATAATTAGGTTTAATCATGTACACATAAGATGAAACTAGATTTGATTGGATTTTTATTATATCCAAGTGTAAAGAACGGTAATACATGAACTTAGGATAGGAGATTAAAGGTTAATCTTATTATATATACTTGTTGTTAATCAAGTTTTATTCGTATTGCTTTCTCTAAGTTGTTTATGTCCAATCGTATATCGGGTGAAAATTCTATTGAAGTATTTAGGTTAATAAAATTTGATAAGTTGACCAATCATGCTAAGCTACTTCTTATTACAAATATGGATTAACTTGCCGTACTAAATATACTTTGAATTGTGATGCACAATAATCGTGAGATAAGAAATTGGTCATTATGACATGCGATAAACCGATCTCCAAATGCAATAAACTAAATCTTAATTACAATATAAGCCGCACCAATTAATTGTATGTCTTACAATTCAGATATCAGAGTTAATATTTTATACTTCGTTAAGGTTTTAATCAATCATTATGTGGTCATATATAATAATAAAATATTCCGAGTATCACTCAATATCATTATATGGTCATATAACCATGTCAAATCGATCTTATTACACCAAAATAATAAATTAATTCAAGAAAATCTCCTCAAAGCTATTTGGACATTATACATGTATTAGGTATGGTATGTATGAGACTATGATCGAGTTAGATAAGGCGACAAATACATTAATTTGTTTGGTTTTCTTGGGGAAATATCTAAGTACAATAGTTAATTAATTTGACTCAAACATTTTAGAAAAATAGGAAATTTAAATGTTTGACCTACCTAGCCATTATATTACAGAAGTAAATTAAAGGTTAAAATAAACTAGGAAATTAAAAGGTGTAACAAATATAGCAAAGTCGGCTTTCTACTTGTTGGTGAAAGTTATACTAGCTAAGCTATATATAGTATGAGACATTATTATGACTTGTATTTGTGACCAAAATTAGGATGAATACTCAGGAAAAATGACCAAAGTGAGCTTTATTAAGAAACTATGTTATATAGTAGACGCGTGGCAAAACTATTTACCAAACAAAGCTTTCAGGGTAAAACGTCATTCAGGTTGGCGTTTTTACCCTGGCCAACTTTTTAAAATTTCAGTCAGGGCAAAAACGCCAGCCTGGTTGGCGTTTTACCCTGACTGACATTTTTTAAAAAAAATTGGCCAGGGTAAACACGCCAACCTGGATGGCGTTTTACAGTTGCACTAAAAACGCCAACCTGGTTGGCGTTTTTGTATCGAGTATATTTTCCAGTCTACTTCTGTTTTATCATTGCTCTTCAAAAAAACAAAAACCCCCAATTCCCAAACCCTAACCCCCGCGCACATCACTTCGCCAATTCCTCCATATTTGCAGCAAATTCATCACTTCCCATTGCTTAGATCTTCATCACACTCATTAAAAATTGTTCCTCCTTCTTTCTTTAACACTTTTACGCAGTAAATTGATCGTATTTGAGGTATGTATGTAATTTAACTATTTTACTTGTTTTTGATGTTTTTTGGGAATTTATGTTTGTAATTTACAATTTATGTTCTATATTGTTGTTCAAGTATGCGTTATAAGTATAACTAATAATACATTGTTGTTTAATTATTGAAATTAAGTATATTTATATGTATGTTGTTTAATTTCAAATCAAGTATATGAAGCATACATTATTCTTCAAGTATGTAGGTTTTTTTTTTGCTAAATTGTATATTTAGTGTGTAATTATGTAATTTAAGTATGTTTACAAACTACATTGTTGAATTAGGTACATTTAAATATATACTACATTGTTGATTAAGTAGGTAAATAAGTACATTGTTGAACACTATGTTGTATATACGCTTAGCTTGAGGATTTAATGGAAGCATTGTGGTTTTAGTTGTGTTGTGTATTTGTGTCATCTAATATGTGTTTCGATTGTTATGTAGAATATGGCTTCACAATTGATTGTTTTGTTATGCCGTTGGGGGGTGAAATTCTGTGTGTCGGATAGAACGTCGAGTATAGAGGAGGAAAAATGGAACCATTAGCATTGAAACCTTGTATGACTTACAGTGATTTGTTGAAGAAGGTTTATACTATAACTGGTTCAAACCCAACGAATGTTGAACTGAACATTAAAATGAGGTTTGAGAGTGTTAGTGGGATTCAAATCTTACATGTTTTGAATGATGACCATTTGAAGGTTTTGAGGGGTGTCGTTGCAATGAGGTCTCTTCCCACTGATTTGTATGTGGAAATGGTGCCTATATGTACTCAACAGACTATTCGATTGACAGAGCAAAAACCTACATATCTTCCCTCATACAGTACAAGCTCGTTACAAATGCCCTCATACAACATTCCGTCATTTGAATATGGAATGGGATCTTTCAGTAGAATGTTACACGAAGATCAATTTGACATTCCATTTAGTTCGCATTTTACTGCACCTGTACATGAAGGGGCGTCGGTGTTAATGTTGCAGCAACCTGGTCCATCTACCTCAAACAATGACATTTCATCACCGATGCCAGTTGCATAGTTACTCTTCTTCGCAAGAACATGTTCAAGTAACACCATCTCAAGTTTTGGTGACAGCTGAAACTGTTGTAAACAACGAATTGTATGTTCTTGATATGTATGAGGATACAAATGAAGAGGGTGAGGGCGGAGATGAGGAAGATGTTAGGAACAACGAATTGTCTATTGATGATGCTGTGGCTAGAACTCCATTTCCTTGGTTCACTCAAATAAATGAGAACTATGAGGTGGACATGTATTGGGCTGATTCGGGGAGCCAGACTTCGTTTGTTGTCGGGGGAGAATTTGAGAAGGGCATGATTTTCGACAGTAAGAAAGTGCTCCAAGAAATGGTGAAACTGTATTTCATACAACGGAATCAGTTCTACACCATGGTGACATCGAATGAGAATGTTCTTCATCTTAAATGCAAGAGGAAGTGAGGATGTAGCTGATTTCTTGTTTTACATTGTGCAATGAACAAATATCATGGAGGGACACGATCAGGGACCGCCACGAGCTGACCCAGGACCAGTTGACCCTTCTGTCCTGACACTTCAGGGCACCCATCAGAGCCGTGATATATGGGAGCAGTCAGTAAGTTTTCATCTACCAAATCTTTAATATTTTTGGCAATTTTTATGTTAATTGATCTAACAATGTAATTTTGTGGGTTGTACAGGTTGATCCAGCACGGTGCTTGCTTTGCAGGCACCACGTTGGCAGGAAGGTGGAATATTGGGTCATCGACTCGCGTGTACTACATTACATCGATTTTGTGGGTTTTCGCGGATTTCATAAGATGGCCTTCACACCTATAGATCGAGCGCTAATTATTGCGCTCGTTGAGAGATGGAGACAGGAGACTCATTCCTTCCATCTACTAGTTGGGGAGGCCACCGTCACGCTCCGAGATGTGGCGATACTGACACGACTCCCAATACGTGGTAGGGCAGTGACAGGGCCCATTATACTGGACCCTCTTGGCCTTGTTGAGAGGGTGTTAGGGGTGAGGCCTGAGGACGCCGATATTAGAGGCATAGGGCTGAAACACATGTGGTTACGAGAGACATTTGGGGTGTTGCCTCCTGATGCTGATGATAGAGTCGTTCAGAGATACGCTCGAGCGTACCTGTTCATGTTGATAGGATCGTTATTTAGTAACAAGAGTGGTAGTCACATATGTAGGGTTTCGTAGTGACCCTCACTACGCGGAAAGAAACCCCCCAAGACCCGCCCCGATAACTAAAGCAATTAAAGCATGCAAATATAATTAATACATAATTAAAAAAAAAGAAGGGATAAAGAATTATACCCTAGACGCGTGCTTCGCTCGCTAAAAGAGCTCTTACTTCAACCTCGCAAATGCAAGGCCTCCGACGGTTCGTACCCTCGAACCCGACCCGATCGTCCTAAATCCCGAAGGTTAGTCGGGACCCGAACAAAATATAAACTTTGGAGTTTTACGAACTTAAGGTATTCTCAACAATGGAGATGCCTATATAGTTCCACTCAAGTGTGTTCTTTCCCAAATGCCAAACCCTTGGTATTTATAGGGAAATGAACCCTTGAATTTCAATCTCCCACCAATGTGGGAGAATTGGTAAATGTGATAATTTATTTAATTCTAAATTAAATAATTAATCAAAGCAATCACCATGCAACAAGTGTCAAGGGGAGAGAGAGAGTTAGGTGAGGACCAAAACTAATGGGGGGACCATTGCCTTGCTCCCCAAGGCTTTGCTCCAAGAATTGGTCCCCACCTCCCTCTAACCGACCTCAAGCAATGGCTGGACTGGCAGCCAGCTAGCACGCCAGCACACCAGCCAGCTAGCCCCAGCACGCACTGGCCTTAGCATGCTGCTGGGCTGCAGGGCGCTGAAAGCTGTTAGCATGGCGCTGCTGCCTAGCCATCGCACAAGCACACGCACAGCCCTGCTGGCTGGTGCATAGTGCTGCTGCCTAGCATCTCACATGCACACATACGCATAGCCAGCATGCATGTTGCTAGTGAGCCACGCATGCTGGGCCTTGCCTCGCCAGCCACACGCACAAGCACGTCATGCTTGGTGCTGTGCTAGCGATGAGCTGCGATGGTGCGACAGCCCTAGGCATACACACGCATGCACACGCAAGTGCCTAGCACTGCGATGGTGTTGTGCTTGTGCGATGGCACACACGCACGCACACACGCCAGTGCCTAGCACTACGATGGTGCTGTGCTTGTGCGATGGGCGATGCTAGGGCGCTAGTGCTAGCTAGGCTGGGCCTTACGACAGTACCAGCCACGCAGCACTTGCGAGTGCGCCTAGCATGCATGGCGCGCCTAGCACATACATGGTGCGCCTAGGCTTGCGATAAACTAGCC